CCACCAAGCTAATCTGTAGAATCCAGTGATCAGAATCCAAATTTACATCCAGAACAGAGCAGAACAGTGGTCCCACCTTTGACAAGTCCTCCCAAGGAAGAAAACTTTGTTCCAAAAATTTATGAAGAGACCAGCTAACCAAATCCATAACAATAAATCATAATTTTCGGTTTTGGATGAAAATGTAGAGGAGGCTGCGAGCAGAAAGCAGGGAAAGATAAGGAAGGGCAGGAGAGAAGAAAAAAAGTTCAAGTTTCAGTTATCAGCTCAGAAACCAACAGTCGGGTTCACAGAGGCAACAGGTCCAGGAGAGAAACCCAGACCTCCCTCTCCTCAGCATCACTTCCCAGCTCATCCTGGAGGAGTTCCCAGACCAGAGAGRACACATAATCCCTCCAGAGGGTCTTCCCTCCTACCAGTGGGACATGTGGAACACCTCTAAAGGGAGGCGTCCAGCAGGCTCCTGATCAGAYGAACCACCTCAGCTGAATCATCTTAATGTGGAGGTGGAGCAGCTCTACTCCAAGCTCCTCCCCCTACCTGAGCCTGCCCACCCTACAGAGGAAGCTCATTTTGGCCACTTGTATCCAGGATCTGGTTCTTTCAGTCATGATCCACGCCTCATGACCACAGGTCAGGGGATTCTGATGTTATAAGTCCATGAAATTGACGTTTTTAGRCATTATCAGTCCCATACAATGGCTTCAGAGGGTCCCTACTGTGCCTTCTAGGCTTCAGACTGTCYCGACAGTGCCCCCTAGTGGGTTAATACATCAATGACAATGAATGTGTAAATAACCAAAAGATATTGTAATAAATTTTTTGTGCCCATGTCGGTCTCGAACCCTGGTCTCCTGCTCTGCTGGTCCGACACTCTACCCACAACATACAACCGTTAGAGGGCGGTGTCTTTAGCGCTAACCATGTCATTTGCTCTAAAGTTAACCTTAGTGGCTTTAAGCCTCATATTAACCTTTTTTATGCCTCATATTAACCAGATGACATTCTGAAGCCATTCTATGGGACTGATAACGCCTAATAACATCCATTTCATGGATGATAACATCCGAAGCGGGTGCCACAGGTGCGGGTTTTAACAAAGACAGATCAGTAAATCCAGAGCTTTGCCTTTAGGCTCAGCTCTTTCTTCACCACGACCAACCGAAGCAACGCCCTCATTACTGACGAGGCTTCAGTCCATCGATCCATCTCCCGCTCCGTCGTCACTGGTGAACAAGACACCCAGATAAGTCAACTCCTCCTCTTGAGGCAGAGACTCTCCCCTGACCCTGAGGAGGTGTTCCAGCCTCTTCCAGTCGAGAACCACGACCTCAGACTCCGAGGAACTGACCTTCATCCCAGCCGGGAACCCCCCAGTGCACGCTGAAGGTCCTGGCCCAAAGACGCCAACAGAACCACATCGTCTGCATACAGAAGTGTTAGCAGAGGCTAGCACCAGATAAGGATGATGTCGTCATCCCAAGACAAACATCAACGCTAGCTTGTGCTAAATATATTTAAAATCTAAATTCTAAATGTGTTTATAAAATCAATCTGGGTGGTCCCTGAGGTCCAGCAGTCATATCTGCAAGTTTGATGTCTTGTAGAGAAGCTTTAGCTGATTGGAGTTAACGGTTGCTGTTGTCTCAGGATGATGACATCATAACATGAGCCGCGCACCAACAGCGAAGGACGCGTTCCAAAGTAGTAAATGTGAACTTCAACATTTAAGGTTTAACTTTTACATTTAAATTTAAACATTTAGATTTAGGATT